CTACAAGATACAAAATTAATTCCTCTCGTTAGAGTTAAAAATTTAATGATTATGCAATATACATTAATTTGAGTAAGCTTTGCAGGAGGTGGAGAATATTCTACGGTCTCCCCCTCAGTCTTCCAATGTTCGGGAGGGAAAACTCTTCCATGAGGCAGTCGCACCACTTGATGGTGTGACAGTCCTATCACTGTGTGCCACCTCGTCGGGTGGCCCACCATACACCCTCGAGGTGTGTGGGCCACCCATCGAGGTGGCATTTCGACATTGGGTCATTCAGGAGGGAAAAATGACAAGAAAGACCAAGAGGGCAAAACACCTAGGGAGTTGTTCATGTAGGAGCATGAGGAGTTACGGGAAGCTAGTGAAAGGTGGATGAAGGACACATCAACTTTTTACATGGTTGTCGCAAACTTAACTGCCACAGTTGCATTAAATGCATCCTTTATCGTACCAAATGGGAATAAGGTAGCTCACAACAGGAGGTTCACAGTTTTTGCTACATCTAATGCATTGGCAATGTTTAGCTCGACAGCTTCCATAATGACGTTCTTGTCTATCTTAACTTCAGGCTATGGAGAAGATGATTTTCTATATATATTAACGGTAAAGTTCATGGTTGGACTATTTACACTCTTTGCTTCAATCATTTGCATGGACTTAATTTAGTGCTACCTACTTTTTGGTCCACAAGGAAGAAAAGCCAGGGATATCGCCAAAAATGGTTGTTGGTCTTGCTTTGCTTCCGGTCACTTTATATGTAATGCTAAATTTTAGGTTATGGTATTCTGTATTCCGCTCAACAATCCGACCGTCAAGGTTTATGTTCCGACCAGGTGAGCACAGGCTTTTCTAATAAAAGGAGCTACAATACTAGTTGTTGTTACTAAGAAAAGTGGAGAAGCTTTATTCTACTTTGTTGTTGTTGTATTTTCTAATAAAAGGCTTCGTTTAGCCTTTAGTTTTCTAGTTGTTACTTAATTGTTGTTGTATTTTCAAATAAAATGCTTTGTTTATCGAGTGTGAAAAAAGTGGAAAAGCTTTCTCTTCTTATTAATTAGTCTTTGTATTCTTCTATATATATTTATAAATAAATATCACAACTATCATTGCAGTCCAAATTAAATCAAGTAGAGTAGTCCACCAGAAAATTAGAACTCACATGCATTAAAATGAAAAGACAAGAAATCACGAACGAATTCATCATTACTAACATGGATAGATCCACTGTTAATGAAAAGAGCAAAACGATGTCAGTGCTCGTTTGTTGAATTTCAATTAGCACGAAATACTATAGGATTGCTTTGCAATACCAAGGGCAGGATGGAGCTAGCTGTACACATTACCCAAAGCCATTAGCCGGTGTGTGGTTAGTCTTATCATATTCGACGCCCCTTGCCACTGCTAGAATATTTTGGGATTGATTCTTCAACAATTTGTCGAGCGTTGGTTTCTGCATTCATTCCAATGTCAATAGTAGTAGCTGTCAATTTTACACGCACATAGAAATGGGACATTTGCCTGCCAATGTTATTGTAGGTCCAACGTCGTCTAATGCTCTACTCCCAATTGTAGTAAAGTTAATAAAGACACAGTGAGAAAATTCTCTCTTCCGTACATTTTTTTTATCGGTATTTTCTCTTCCATATATTATTCTTACAGTATTATGCCGCAATATATACTACAATACAATTGTGAAGAAAAGGAAATAATAAAAAATATTTCCTAACTTAGTTCTAAATATACCATACAATAATCCCATAATTGATTTCGGGATTTCTACACTCCCCCTCAAGTTGGATTTTAGATATTGATCATATTCAACTTGTAGATAAAATCATCAAAATTTTGTCCTTGTAGCCATTTGGTGAATATATGTGCAATTTGTTCTTTGGTAAGACCCTAGATCATACAGATAGTTCCATTTTTGTTTCTTCTTGATAAACTGTCTGTCCACTTCTATACGTTTGGTTCTATCATGTTGAACGGGATTGAGTGAGATACTGATAGTTGCTTTGTTATCGCAATAGATTAATTGCGAATTTCATTGTAATTTGTAATTCTTCAAAGAGTTTCTTTAGCCATAGTCCTTCACATATTCCTTGAAAGATATTCTAAATTTTGCTTCAGCATTGCTTTGGCTATCACAACCTGTTTCTTACTACTCTAAGTAACCAAAATTTTTCCACACAAAAGTACAATAACCAGTGGTTGATCTTTTATTGCTATTGCCCAATCTACATTAGTGAATATTTCTCTCTCTTTTTTCATTTTTCTGAACAATAATCCTTTCCCAAAAGAGCCTTTGAGATATCTCAAAATCCTATATACTGCTTCTAGATGAGTTTTCTTTGGAGAATGCATATGTTGGCTTACCACACTTACCGCGAATGCAATGTTAGGTCTAGTATGTGCTAGATAGATTAGTTTTTCAACCAGTCGCTAATATATGTCATTTTCAATTGATTCTCCGACGTTCTGAATTTTCTTCCAATGTCCATAGGGGTATCACTTGGTTTGCACCCAAGCATACTAGTTTTAGTGAAGAGATCCTAAACATATTTTCGTTTGTGAGATACTAATACCCTTCTTTGATCTTGCTACTTCCATTCCTAGAAAATTCACATTTGTGCTTGATTTTTTACTTCAGATTATGTAGCTAGACCCCTTTTTAGTCTCTCTATCTCAACTGTATTATCTCGAGTGAGGATTATATCGTCAACATATATGATCAAAATGATCTTTGTCTCACCGTCAAATACCTTGAACATCATAATATGACTTAACTACCCTTGTTTTTATCTCTGATTTTTCAACACGTCTGCAAATTTATCAAACCATGCTCTAGGTGAATGTTTGAGGCCTATAGAGATTTTTTTCAGTTTGCATACTTTATTTTTTTTCGTTTATATTGGAGAATCCAAGTGGTAGCATCATGTAGACTTCTTCTTCCAACTCCCCATTCAGGAATGCATTCTTAATGTCAAGTTGTTAGAGTGGCCAATTCATGTATGCTGCTAGTGGTAGGAGAACATGAATTGTATTCAATTATGCAAGCGGTGCGAATGTTTCTGTGTAATATATATCATAAGTTTGAGTGCATCCCTTTGCAACCAGGCGAGCTTTACACTGTTTTACTATTTTGCCTACTTTATATTTCACATTAAACACCCATTTCCACCTAAAAGGTCTTTTTTCTTTTGGTAGTTTCATCACATCCCAAGTTTCATTTGTCTCTAAAGCTTTCATTTCATCCATAACTGCCTTTCTCCACCAGGAAATTTTTAAGGCTTCTTGAATATTTCTCGAAATTTCTGTATCTTTAAGTTTAAATACAAAAACTGAAAATCTTGGAGATAGAGCTTTATAAGAAACAACATCTGAGATAGGATGAAGAGTGCATGATCTAGTTTTTTCCTAAGAGCAATAGGTAAATCAATGTCATGTGATTTTGGAGAAAGCTCATCTAGAGCTATCATTGGTTTCGATTCTCTTGGTGCTTTGAGTGTGAGTTTGTCCTTATCCTTTGATTTTGGCCTTTTTAAGTAAACTATGATCTCTTTGTCATGTTTTTCTTTCTGTTCTCTCCATGAGTTCAAATTACCTTCTATAAATGGCATAGTAGGGCATAGTGGTGTTGTAGGTTCAGTGTTCAAAATAGATTCAGATGGATGAAGAGAGATTCCAAGAACCAATCTTAACTTAAGTTCTCTCTCTGAAGGGAGGATTTTTGAAAGCAGGACTGTTCTCGAAGAAAGTGACATCAAGACTGACAAATACCTTTTTTGTTATTCGATCATAACATTTATACCATTTTTGTGTAGGTGAGTATTTAATGAATACATACTTAAGTACACAGGGCTCGAGCTTACTTCGGTAATAAGAATGTATATGGACAAAGGCTATTCTTAGAGGGAGATTGGAAGTGAGATCGAAGTTGGGGAAGAATTTCTTGAGTTTTCAGAAGGAAGTTTCGAAATTGAGAGTGCGACTATGCATTTTGTTGATGAGATAGGTTGATATTAAAATGACGTGGCCCCAAAAAATCTTGTATATAATTGTAGTGAATATTAGGGCACTGGCTACCTCAAGTAGATGTCTACTTTTTCGTTCGACAACTCCATTTTGTTGGGCTATATCGACACATGAGCTTTGGTAGATTATTCCATTTTCTTGGGGATAGATTTTTAGCATATTATTGAATATTCTTTGTCATTATCCATGCGTAGAATTTGAGTTTTTGTCTAGAATTGGGTTTGAACCATAGAATGAAAATTTATGAACACAAAACAGACATCAATTTTTTTTCTTTTAGTATATAGACCAATAGATTCGAGTATGGTCGCAGATGAATATAAGAAGCCATTTTGTGTAGGTACAATTAGGGTTCGTAATGGTTTCCATAAATCACTGTGGATCAAAGTAAATGGTTTAGATGTTTTGTATGTAGATTTTGGAAATGAAGAGCGATAATATTTTGCGAGTTCACAAATTTCACAATTAAAATCAGAAGGTATTTTATTCTAATATTGAAGGAAATACATTTCTTAGATACTAAAAATTTGGATGACCCATTCTATAATGCCATAAATGAATTTCACTATTCTTAGGGACAAATGTAGAATCACAACTAACAAATCGACTTTCTTTACTCATATCAATCTCGTCAAAGTAGTAGAGTCCCTTACACTCTTTAGTACTGCTAATCATCTTCCTCGATGATAGGTGCTAAAAAAACATAGTGAGAAGAAAAAATAGTTAGTGTAGCAATTTGAACTATTTATTAATTGGCTAATGGATAGTAGATTACAGGATAGATTTGGGACATGTAGAACACGTTCGAGTATGATTGAATTAGATATTCAAATACTCCATTTTTTAGCTACCGGAGAGAGAGAACCATCTGCAAATTTTGACTTTGGGATTACCAGCACAAGGTGAATATGAAGGGAATAAATGGTGAGAGTCTGTTATATAATCACACACACCAAAGTCAATAATACATGGTACTTTAGAGAGTGCAATGGTGTTTAAAGCTCTTAGGGAATTACTTCTGTGGGCTAAGGTGGTTGATGAGCCAAATGACTGCAGGTCGGAAAACATTTTTTAGAGTTGTTCTAGTTATTCGGAATTAAACTCGAAGTATAGTTTTGTGTTTCAGTGGAATTGATTGTGGTTTGGAAGTCGTGATTTCTGGTGTTCTATCTTGGTTTTCAATCAGATGGTTTTTCAGACCCAGTTTTTTCTTCAGCATAATCACCCAACGACTTCCTCTCGCCTTACTTCTACAAAGAGTCACATGTGGTGGGGGCTGGCCGATGGCCAAGTTTTTGACCTGTCACATCATCTAGTTCCCTATTCAACCCAGCCAATAATTCATACACTTGTTCATTCTCCACTCTTCTCTTGTATCGAACACTATCATTTGGACAAACCCATTATTCGTCAATGCTGAGGTCCGATTCGTTCCAGAAGGTAGTCATCTCCGTGTAATACTCAGTGATGTCCCTTTCTTCTTGCTTGGCCTGCCATAGTTTAGTTTTAATTTTAAAGATTTGGGAAAATTCTTCCGCGTTGGAGTACATCTCTTAGCGGCATCCAATATATCCTTCGTAGTCACCATGAAGAGATAGATCTTGGCAATTCTTCATCGAACTGACAAGCTAAGACATTACCATGGAGTTTTCCGATTTTCATTTTTGTTGGAAGTTTTGCATCCATGGGTTTCTTCATATCGCCAGTAAGATACCCAATTTTTCCTTTCCTATCGATCACCAACTTGATTGATTGAGCCCATTCTCTAAAGTTTCTCATTGTGAGTTGGAAGGGGAAATTATCACTTCCAATTGAATTCACAATATGGATGACTTCGGTTTCACCGGATTCTATTTCAAAGATGGTCGAGTTTTTACTATTGGCGGTGTTTTCGCCATTACGAATCTATTTTGGGTTTCACCGTACTCTGCTACAATAAAGTTAATAAAGACACAATGAGAAATAATCTTTTTTCTCTTCCATACACTATTCTTACACCATTATGCCTCAATATATACTACAATACAATTGTGAAGAAAAGGAAAATAATATTCTGACTTAAGAAAGAAAGAAAAAACCATTTCCTTACTTAGTTCTAATTATACCATACAATAATCCTATAATTGATTTTGGGATTTCTACAACTAGTACTTGTTCCGTTATGAATTGTTTCCTGGTTGTCGGTCTGATATTCATCACGAGGATTCCCCATAAAAAACTCACCTTGCATCAGTGCACTTTGGTTATTAGACAATACCCATGTTCTAATTGCGATGAACAAGATTCAAAACTCGGAAAATATACTAATAAAGAAGATAAATTTATACTATATATTACAAGATTCAAATCCTAGAAAATGTCTGTAATTTTGGGAGCAAGAGAGAGGCAGAAACTTCAGAAAATTGAATGAATTGCTGCCAATTTTGTGTCATTTTACATTTTTAGAGAACGTTCAGAGAGTGCTTATACATTTGGGAGAACTTGCCAGAGAAATTTCTAGCACTCTCGGTTACTATTTAATTAACTTGTGCATTAAATAATTGAGACTTTCGATTGGAAACAGATTGTTAAGGGATAAAAATCCCACATTGATTAATAAAGAAAAACATAGACTAATTTATAAATGATTTAACTACTCATCTTAATAAGGTTACCTTTTAAGATGGAACCATAAATTTTAACATGGTATCAGAACCCATTAAAATTTAATGAGCGATTCGATCAAATTAAGACTGAAAAATGAGCATATGAATTTCAAGATTGATATGCTTAATTCCACATCAATTAAAAATGAAAATATAGGCCAACTTATAAAAAATTGAATTACTCCTCTTAATAAAGTTAATCTTTTAAGACGGAATCACAAATATTAACATATAATAATATACATGTCAATTAAGTAGTGACAGAAAGTACTGATTTTCATACTCCATGAGTACTAAAAAATTTCTCGCACATTTGAATATAATGACGGTTCAAACTCCTTGCTACTTAGACCACCTAATTTAATTAAGTAAATATTCTCCCTAATCATGCATAAGAATGCATTTCTCTATTAATATTTTGGTATTCTTTTAATTGTTTTTATCTCATTCAAATTTATAGCAAATACCTAGCTAGATTGAAATTAGAGTTGAAAATCCAATATCCAATACCAATATGAACACTGTTAATCCTTGTCCAACATCTAAGAGCTTTTGGCGGTCAATTTCTGAGTTTAATATACCAATACCAAAGTTGAGCAAATTAATGAAGTGCAAATGTGTATAGTATCATGTTTGCGTAGAAGAGACATGAAATCTATTACTATCCCTTAAAGTGCGCAAAAAAAAAAATACTGGTTTTAAAATTATTTTGGATGAGATTTTGGAGTTTTTCTAGACTCATTAGTATTTTCGAGAGTTCTGAATTTGGAATTGAGTAATAAAATTGTTATCCTTTCTACTCATAGACTTTAAGAGTTGATGCATTGTATACGTTACACGCACATGGAAGTGTCCTCTAATTTTATACGTGCTACATATGCATTATATATGTTATGCACATGGGAATGTCCTCTAATTTTATATATGCTACATAGTATAAGTACTCTGAAGGTTCCCGATTTTTATATCCAGCTGCTCTAGGAGGTGATTGGAAGGCTGTTAAAATTGTTTTGAATGTGGACAGAAGTGTAGATTGTAGAAAAATTAGAAAGAAGAAATAGGCCTCTTTGCATAGCTGCTATCACCAAGCAAACTAAATCGATCAAGAATCTAGTGACTTGGCACATGGAAATATCACCTTTTATTTTGCAGTTGCATTCGGGGTTGTAGAAATTGCTACCATCCATTATGTTCCATGTAAGATAATAAAGATTTATTTCTCTTTTCTACAAATTAGACATCTTGGTTTGTACCTGAAGAAATAGTATTCGAATATTAGATAAAGCCTCATGGATGATGATAAATTCGAGTTCCTAATTTACCTGAATAATGTCATGCTGGATAGTCAGAGCCGGTCCTGTGATTCTCGAGGCCTAAGGTGAAGTCTGGAAATTAGGCCCCCCGATAAAATCAACGTAAACGCAAACTTCAACGATGTATTATGCGACCCATAACTAACTTGAAAAATTAACATTAAAACAACAACCAAATATATTATAGAAAAGATTTATATTATCAATTATCAAAACCAATAACGTTTGAAACAATTAGTTAAATACTATTCGTCTTGCTGTTTTAGAGGAAAACAATATCAATCAAATATGAATAATTTAGCTGCTCAACCATTTCTTTCTCTATCGATAACATAGCCAACCCGTTTAATCTTTCTTGCGACATAGTTGATCGGAGATAGGTCTTGATCAACTTCAATTTCGAAAAACTTCTTTCCGCGGATGCAACTGTTACCGGTATGGTTAACAAAATTTTGTAAGCAATATAAGCATTTGTAAAACAAACATTCATTGTCTTCAAATATTATAACACTTCAATTGCACTTGTTGCTTCACTTGGTATATAACACCTCAAAACTTGTAACTCCGAACATAAATCATCCCCACTAATGTCCGAACACCCATCATGTTGAAGATATTTCTCAAGAATCATACAAGAGTTCAACAAACTTGAAAAAGCTACAATCCTTAACCTCTTCAAAGTAAACAAAAATCCAAATGTGTCATCATGTTGTTTAAAATTTTCAAATCGGGTCATCGGAGAAGATAGAGTTTGATCAATTATAAAAACAAAACACTCAACTCTAAATGATTCTTCTGCTGATTGCTTTACCTCATCACTACCGCTATCATCAAATTGCTTTTTGCTTCGAATTATGCATTTTTCTGTAATAAAGCTTCAATTCCCATTTCGCTTGCCTTTTTTGTAGCTTCATCCTTGGTAATAGCAAATCCAATTTCTCTATATTCTTCAAGAAATGAAACAAGTCCTTGCAAGAGGTAGATAGCATGATCAATATCCATGGATTCGGTTTGAAGAAATTTACTCACAATATTGACAGCATGCAACAACTTGTACCAGATTATCATGCCAAGCAAAAAATCAAAATTTTGAAGTTCATGTGCTGCTAATGACTCAACTTCACACTTTACTTTAGGATTTTCATTACTTTCTGCCAAATCAAGTAATGCATCTCTTATTTGTGCAGTTTGCTCCATTATAAGCTTCACACTCTCAACATGACTTTCCCAGCGTGTTTGTGACAATAGCTTCACTGTCAACCCTTGTACATTATCTTTGAAAATTTTTCATCGCTTGATAGAAGAGGAAAACAATGTGTAGATGTGTTGTATCACTCCGAAGAAGGATACACCTTTGGAACAACAGTTCACCATATCACATAATGCTAGATTTAGACAATGAACGCCACATGGAGTATAGAAAGCTCGGGAATTCATTTCATGAAATCTTCTTTGCAAACCTTTGTGCTTCCCGCTCATGTTAGATCCGTTGTCATACCCTTGCCCTCTAATGTCATCAATATCGAGATCAAGTTTTATCAAAGCCTTTTGAAGCTGAGTTGCAATTCCAAGTCCCGTTATGTCATCTACCTAGAAAAATTATAGCCAATATTCTTCAACTATAGGTAAGTTTGCTGAATCATCTACAAATCGTACAATTAAAGACATTTGCTCTTCGTGACTTGCATCTGGAGTACAATTAAGTATAACTACAAAATATTTTGCATGTTTAAATTTCTTGACAATAGAACTTCTCACCTCATTAGCCAACAATTGTATCAACACATTTTGAATTTTTTTGCTAAGATACGTATATTGAATCTCTCTTGCTTTAGTCCGTCAAAGGTGCTCTTGCATTATTAGATCAAATTCACTAACCATTTCCACCATTTGTAAAAATAGGCCATTGTTCTCAACATGTAGCCTTTCACCATCTCTACGAAATGGCAAGGTGTTTTTCGCAAGTCTTTTCACAGTAGCGATTATCCTTGTTAATACATGTCTCCAATGTTCCCTTTCAACATCAATCAACAATTCAAAGCTTTTATCAATTGTAGTTTTTGTTCGAAGCCTATTTTCCAATTCAATCCAGCTAGTCATGCAACGTAAATGCTCCTCATTTTCTTCATGACTTTTAATAGAGCGATGCAAATTATGCCAATCTTTGAATCCATCATTACCTAGGTGGCCAACTTTGGTCACATTTATTGGTGTTTTAAACAACTTGCAACAAAAGTAGAAAATCCTGTCCATAGACACTGAATATACTAGCCATCTTCTGTCAACTGTTTGCCCATTTGGTAGCAACCGCTTATATTGTGAAGAATCGAAATGTCTATTTGTATAGTCTTTCGGAAACGAGATGTCATCCACTCTTTTTGGACCTCTTTCAACTAAGTAATCCCTTGTTCTTTGATCAATGATTTTCCAATTCCCGGAATCATCCAAATTTAGAGAAAAGCAACCCTATTCTTCCTTATCATCTTCTTCATTATTAGAACCGGTCTTCATCACTTCTTCTTCCTTATCATCTACTTCGTTAACATCAACAGGTTAACTCACTGCTTCATCCTTATCGTCTACTTCATTAACATGGGCATGTTGAATCTCTAGTTCATCTTCACTCTCATCCAACGCATTCACATTGTTGTTTTTGAAGTACTTGTTAGTATCCCCTGCTTGACTTTGAATTAATGCAATTTTATTTCATTTCGTTTTTCGCTTTTGAGCACCAGACTCATATTTAGGAGGCATAGTGTAGAAGTGTATATCAGATGTCCAATGATTAAGTTGAAAAATAATTACACAATATCTCAATCATCTCACAATTATAGTTTCAAATATAGTTACTACGTGCGCCTGTGCAATTGTTCATCGTACAATAAGCAATCATATAAGCCGACCAGGCTGCAATTATATAAGTTGACAAGGTTTTAAACATTTCCAATCTCTTCAATAACAAGTTAAGGCAAGCCGTTACTTACTTAAGAAGTAGAATTTCTACGAAAACTGTAGAGTTACACCTTCGAGAATTCCACTGTCAAAAGACTCACAACTCACGACCCTGAAACAAAAATTTCACATCAAATGCTAATACAAAATTACAAATATGAACATGAACATCAAATCAAACGCTAATACAAATATGAACATGATCATCAAGCTTAGGGAAATAACAATTGTACATTTTACCTATCATTCTATCAAACTAAGTTATTCAAATCAACTATAAACTATTTTACACTTACACATGATAGGAGATAGCATTAAGAATCAAAATTCTAACATTCACTTTAGCCCACCTCTGATTTTTAATCGTCAGTTCATGTTTTTATTGCCAGCATTGTTACTAAAGCAAAGTTGCAATTTAGAAAAATCATACACACCAACAAATACAGTGATCATGCAGATTACAAGACTTACGAATGGATTACCTTTTGGATCTGGTCAATATACTCGTTAGTAGTTCTTGAAATAGATTGTGGTTTCTCCCAGTGAAACGAGGGCCTAGATTTTTGAAAATGACCCAAATTCTTTTATTCACATCGAGAAAGCCCTAATCATCACCAATAGATCACAAATTCACTATTGAAATCTAAAAGTTAACACAGATAATTAGGGTTCTTTGGTCAAATTGAATATTTTTATTTTAAACAGATTAGACAGTTATTTATCCAATTTCTTGTTGAAATTTCGCAAAGAGCAAAACGCAAAGCCTCGAACCCTAATAGGCACTTCAAGGTGAAAAAATTGCGAAAGCCAAAATGACACGCTATAAACCTAAAACCATACTAATACAGACTATACAGACTACAGTTACAATATATTCAAGGCTTTCAATTTCAAGCATCACGTGAATTGCACAAAAAGCATACAAGTACATTAAAAAGAGGGTTCACAGTCCTCACTTGCATACCACACCAGCACCAGATTTTCTTTTTCATCAAAGGGTTGAAAAGTAGAATTTTCATAAGTAGGAAACAGTTTTGAATTAAACATAGAACAATTGTATGCTTTAAAACTATAGACTCGTCCAAAAATTTGAGTTGTTAAAAAAGGGAGAAATATTGTTATTCATATTATATCTTCAAAATGAACCTTAAATATTTCAGAGTTCGAAGCATAACAATTTTCCCTTCAAGTACACAAACCTCCTCTGGTGGTAGAATTTTCTTTTCACGTGTTATTTGTAATATGCAATGTGTAGAAGAAATTAGTTGCCACCAATTAAAATCAATGAAGAAATAGTAGACTACGCAGCATTAGAAGTTTCAGGTATCTTATTACCTTTGAAGGCAAATGATACGGCAAACCAGAAAATGCAGAGGACATGAATTCTTAGTTTTAGAAAAACAACTCAAAAAGATCACAAATTTTGAATTTATCGTTTAAATCTCTCTAGTAAATATAATTTCACCGTTCTCTCTTTCACTCTACATAAAGAAAGTAATTGTGTTTTGAGAATATACCTGTTCCAGTATTAAATGGACTATCCGCCTTGATTTGGTTGCTGAGGCAAATACCCATCCAAGTGCCAAAAATCCCTCAAAAAACTCGATTTCTTAGCCTATGAAAGCAGGTTTCAATTCCAAAACCGACCTCTAGACTTCTTTTTTTCTTTTCTTTCTTTATTCCCTAATGCAAGCACAAAGTAAAAATAATTTTCTTAACTTTGGGTACCTAAAAATGAAATGAACCGAAAAAGCTTGGTGGTTCCAGATCTAATGTGAATCCTCTGAATTTTCTTGATCTCTGTTTATGTTAGGTATTACTTATTAGCTGGCGTTCACATGCATATTCAAAAAGCTCATAATTTTGCTATTAGCAAAAATTTAAATTGGCTAGAAAAAAATAATTACAAACTGGAAGTCTGGAATCAAGAACTACCTCCGATTGTTACAGCATTCTCCAAATCAAGAATCACAGAACCTTCCATTTTCCACTACAATTTGAGCCTTAATACACTTCTCTCTCCAAATGGTTCAACCAACCCTAATTTCTATGATTACCAAAATATGCCTAGCTTTCGTTCTCTATGTGAGTGTGCGTGGACGAGAGAGAGACTCGAGGCTTTTTACCGAACTGCGAAGCCAAGTAGCCAACTAACCAAGCGAGAAAATATGGGATTCTAGAAGACTGGAACTGGAAGTCTAGAGTTTGGAACTGGAAGTGAAAGCAAGAGAAGTCGAGCGAGAGAGACAGTCAGATGGAAATGACAGAGCATTTGGGGAAAATGGATTTCAATTTGGGAATTTTGGGAAAAATGGATAATGGATCAGGATACACGCTTGAGCTTGAGAGGTTTGGGCTGCTCTTGCAATCTTGCTGGGCCTCGACTACTATTGTTCAAAGAAAAAAAATTGGGCCAGTAATATGAGGCCCTCTTAGATTTTGGGCCTGAGGTGCAGGCTTCATCTGCCTCTAAGCAGGACTAGGCCTGATCAAGAGCACGTAACCGTAATTTCTAGTACAAGCAATGGCAACCCCCAATCTAATGATCACCCCACACAATGATCTGCTAGTGCAAAAATGTAAAGATTTCAGCCAATTTAGCAGAGCGGACCTATTTGAGTCCGCAACGTGGAGTGATGCGAATTTGCTACTTTAGGGCCACCACTATTCTCCCTAAAGATTCAGCAAATATAACAGCTCGTTCAGCAACGAATGCAGATTGTAATCAGGGGCAAAATTATCCAAAATTTTCTACACAACTTGAAACACTAAACCAAACACATTAGTACATTCAGGGAATCAAAATAAGTGGAATGGCACGAAAAAAAACAACATAGGAGCTCCTCCACTTTTCGACATCGGACAGCCACGCGCCACCTCATAGGGGACGCCTCAACCTGCTGATGATGGGTCCGAGGTCCGTTTATCCAACGGAGGTATGGTTTGAGAGTAATTAACGAATTTCAATTCGGTCAGTTTGAAGAATGGCGTCTCTCTCTCTCTCTTAATTTTGGATTGGTTCTCCTAGAAAACCAAGCCCTTGGCTCTGATACCAGAAGAGGCTAAAAATCCAGCAATGTCCAAGGTGATACCGAGCTCAGTTTTCACCAAAGTCGACACCACCACTATTGAGACACACCTAACTTTCTCTTTTTTTCTTCCCACCTACGGTTGTTATTCATACCCACAAAAAGTCGACCAAGATGAGAACAATATTACCCAAGAGAAACCACATAGGTTGCTTGAGAAAAAGAGGTCGAGAATCAGCAGAGAAGAGGTCACAAAGGGAGGTGGAGAAGACGGCATATTGGAGGCGTAGGGGAGCTGAGAATTATAGCCTAAGAGAGTGACCAAAAAAGGTAAGTTAGGGTAGGTTAACTTAGTGGTCCAAAAAAGGGTTAGCACAAAGATGATGGGCTTCAAATGGATATCGTAGCCATCCAAGTAAATGGGACGGACCACGAGCAACACTATTAAAATAGGTTGCTTCTAATGGTCCATAGAAAATTGGGTTGGGTTGTCTCGATGATAGTGTCAACATATAGTTCAATCATATGACCAAGGCCGACTGATAATACATAAAACCGAGGTTACATCATTGCTCGAGAGGTCGTTTGACAACAAATTATCTAACATGAATAAAACTAAAAACATTTAAAAAAAGGTATTGCACCACAGAAACATGTTAGGTTTGTGCCTAAATTAGGGTGGATTTTTTTGGAAATAAATTGTTTCCTTATCTTCATGTGGGAAAAATTGTTTTCTTATATTTCACGTGATTTTTTATGGAAACATATTATTTCTTATTCTACATTATTTCCATCTTTATTCTATGCCATGTATCGATAAATAGTGAGATTCTCTTTCAGTTTTGTTCAAGCATAATTGCTGAGTTCTCGTATTTCTCTCCATGTTATCAATTAATAAAACATTGTCTTCTGTGATTAACTCTCTCTATTAATTTCTTTACTTTTAAATTTTGGGTCTTGTTGCGATCTTCATTACTTTATATCGCATCATTAATCTCATCCACTACAATCTTTTCGGGTCCAACAAGTGGTTTCAAAGTTTGGTTCTTCTTGTGGATTGGTTGAGGTTTTTCAGAGATGGCTACTTTAAAGTATGATATTCTGTAATTGGATCGCTATACAAGACTTTCTTTATGGCAAGTCAAGATGAGAACTATTGTAGCACAGTTAGATTTGGACAATGTGTTGTTGGGTTTTGAGTAGATGCCAACTAATTGGACAATGAAAGAGAAACAACGAAGGGATTGGAAGGCCTTGTCGTTGATTCATCTATCCAACAATATTCTGTAAGATATCTTGAAGGAGAAAACAGCAGCTACTTTGTGCTTGAGTAGTTATGTATGACCAAGAGTCTTACCAGTAAACTGGCTCTAAAGCAGAAGCTGTATTCTCATCGCATGGTGGAAGAAGGGTCGTTGGAAGACCATCTTGCCGTGTTCAAGGAAATTGGCGTAGGTTTGAAAACGTTTAATGTTAAGTACGATGAAGAGGATCTTGCCTTGATCCTATTATATTCGCTGCCTGATTCTTATACGTCGTTTCGAGACACTATTTTGTATAGTCGAGATACTTTGACTATAGATGACGTCTATGATGCTTTGCACTCAAAGGAGAAGTTGAAGTATTTGGTTGGAGCTATATTGAGGGATGATGAAGCTCTAGTATCTCATGGTGATCGACATGGGATAGATCGAGGGCGAACTTCAGTAATTTGTACTGCTTCTACTGCAAGAGAAAAGGACGCGTAAAGAAGGATTGTGACAAGTTGCAGGCTAAAGGTGATTTAGCTGCAAATTACGGGGTTAACTCTGTAATTCTTACGTAACTAGTGTTGCCGAGAATTTTTCGGATGGTGGTCATGTGTTGTTGACCGTGGTATCTGATGTGGAGTCTAGACCCAATGAGGAGTGGAATCTCGCTTTGGCACATTCGTATCATATGCGTTCCAATCAAAATATTTTCAGACATATGAGGCTGTTAAGCAAGGTGGAGTTGTGATGGGAAACAACGAATCTTGCCGTATTGTTGGAATCGATCGAGTCAGACTAAGGTTGCAGGATGGGACGATCAGAACAATTAATCAGGTTCAACATGTTCCAGACCTGAAAAGTAATCTTATCTCGCTGACTTCCTTGGATGCAAAAGGGTATAAATTCTCTGGTGGATGTGAAGTTTTGAAGGTTCGAATGGGGGTCCGGGTTGTACTTGAGGGACGGAAAAGGTCTAAGTTGTACATCTTCCAGAGGAACGCAGAACTAGTTAAGAGACATTTGGACAAGTTCAATATCGTGATAGATATACAGTTTGGTACAGTACCTCTTGTGGCAAGCTTTGAGTTGGTTAAGAACACCGTTAGGGAGAGCGTTGGTGATTCCACTTTCCCACCATTTTCAGTGGATAAGCTGTGTTCATTTGCTAGGGTTGGACTCATGGAGTGTAGGTATCGTGGTGTCAATAATGTCTGTGATGCTTTTGGGAAGATCTAACAAAGGGCCTTCTGATCCAGCATATGGTATGGTTTCTTTTACAGGGTGTGCTTTGACCCTGTTTGGTCAACAGTAATTCTTCGGTAGGATTTTGGGAACCCGAAATTTGGGTTCAGGTATCGCTTGTGGACACTTCTCATAGAACGATAGTTTGGTTTAGAGAGTTTTCTTTATTGTGTTGATAAGATTTGCTATTTTGATGCAGACAGATTTGAAATTTTGGAGTTTAGTTTGTTGCATCGGAATTTGGATCAAGGTGGTTTGTAACCCAAATTAGTGTGGATTTATTTGGAAATAAATTGTTTCCTTATTTCCATGTAAGAAAAATTGTTTCCTTATATGTTATTTTATGGAAACATATTATTTCTTGTTCCACATTATTTCCATCTTTATGTTATGCCATGTACCTATAAACAGTGGTATCCTCTTTCAGTTTTGTTCAAGTAATAATTGTTGAGTTCTTATATTTCTCTCCATATTGACTATTAATAAAACGTCATGCTTCTGTGATTAACTCTCTTTGTTTACTTTTAAATCTTGTTTCTCGTTACGATCTCTATTACTTCATATCGCATCATTAATCTCATTCACTACAATTCTTTCGGGTCCAACAAAAGAAACGATATCAATTTTCCAAATGTCATTTTATTTGACTTTTTAGTGTCACGAGTATGGAAATGAGTTGATAAAAGTTTCAACCAAAATACTGTTGCTTAGGCAAATAAAGGAGAATTATCATCTTACCAGATAATGTGTTTGCCAATTAATATAGCATTTTACTAAGATACCATAAGCTTACAAGCAAATATCATTGTCATACCTATCGCTTCCATTCTGAAATTCCAAAATAATCAGCAGAGAACTT